TATGCTTTACTGATTTTGCTTCTCTGGAGAACCCAGCCTAAGACACCATCCCATCTATCACTCTTCCAAAAATAGTTATTATTAGTAATTTCTGATATGATTCCTTCTACAAAATAAAATTATATGCATCAAAGTGTGTGTGTGTGTGTGTGTGTGTGTGTGTATTAATAGTAAATTTCTAGTGATGAGGTTGCTGGATTAAAGGGTATGTGCAATTTTTAATAGACGTGAAATTGTCCAAGAAAATGGTTGCACTAATATGCACTCCTATGTTTGAATATTGGAAAAAAGTTTTTGAAAGCACTGGTAAGAAAAAGAAATGACGTTGTATTCACTTCTTTAAAGTGAAAACCTTAATGACATGAATATGTAAATGTTTTGTTCCCTGCAGATGCCCACCTAGGAGGCGTGATGTCAAAGATATTACTTGTGCCCAACAGAGGGCTGTGTGGACAACTGAGCCGGAATTTGACCAGATGTTTTAAATTTCATGAAAGATGCCAAAAATGTCAGGATTACCTGTGGAGAGGTAAATATTATTTTCTTAGACTTTTCATAGTATTCTGATCAGAGGTCAAAAACTCACTTTTATAAGCACTGTGCATTCATTTTCTTTCCTTCAAGCACATTTTTTTCATCTGGAGGTGATCTATGTACGTTTAAAACTTTTATTATTCCAAAATATGTCAACTCACCTTTTCACTTTATTTAATTAATTCCCTCCTTGTTCTTGAGAATTTTTTTCTTTGTTTTGTTTTCTTTTTATTTTTTTTTTATGGTTAAAGATCAAACAAACACTAATATGGTGCAAAAGAGAAAAATAATAGCAATTAGGACAACTCATTCTTATTGTGAAGAGAAAAAAAACCCCACTAATGAAGCATAACTTCCCACTGTGTAAATTAATTTTGAGCCAAGTAAGATTTTCTTTTTTAATTGTACTTCAGGTGAAAGCTAACAGAACAAATAGTTTCTCATTAAACAGTAGCACACATATTGTTTTATGACATTGGTTAACAACCCC